TATTATTATTATTATTATTATTATTATTATTATTATTATTATTATTATTTTGTTGTTATTATTATAGACAATCTCGCTAGGAAGCCTTGCCTGGCCTAGAACTTGATATGTAGACCGCCTGATCTTGAACTCACGGAGATCCGTCTACATCTACATCCCCAGTGCTGAGAATTAAAGACGTGCCCTACTACCACCTGGCTCTACCCTTTTTTTTTGAGAGAAGGTCTATTGCTGGAACTTTGGACTCCTAGGTTAGGCTAGGCTGGCAGGCAGGTAAGGCTCAGGGAACCCCGAGTCTCCCCTTCCCCGGCACAGGTACAGGCTGCCATGCCAGCCTTTATTGTGGATCCTGGGGACTGAATTCATAGCCTCATGCGTGCAGGCAAGTACGCTCTCCACTGAATCATCCCCATCCCAATCAGCCTAATTTTACTCTCTCAGAAACAGACTTGGGGGTTTGGGTGACTAATCCAAGTCCTCACCCCTGGCAAGTGGCTGAGGCTGTAGAGGCTGGCTGCGGATTGTCTAAGAACTCACAGACCATCGGGACTCAGAACTAGGACAAATGGCGGCATCTTGGTGCCCCTCCCCGCACTCCTGTGAAGCCATTCTTTCTCCAAATCGTTGGTCTTCTTTCAGTCTGAATTCACAGCAGCAAGAGGCAGGCTACCCTCTGCATCCTAGCCCAGGAATGCGTGACTGGCTTCCTTGGTGACCCTCCAGATTCTGAGAGTGTGAGAGGAAGGCACGGGGTAATACGGTAACAATGCGTGGGAGGTCTGAATGGACCCTCAGGCAATATTAAGACCCCTTCGGGCCCCATAACCAAGGAAATCCCAAGGCCTCACAGAGAACCGCTCCTCCAGTTTCCTGACTGAGCCTGCCTCTCCGGGAACTGGACACTTGGGATCTATTTTCAAGCTAGAGCAAGCTCCAGTTTAACACTGCAGAGAGTCTGGATTTTCCCGTCAGCCCTCACAGAAGCGATCCTTGCGCCATCTTCTTACCCTTCTGGGACAGATGCTATTAAATCCTGCACGTTAAAATCTGAAGTCCAAGCAAAACGCTGATAGAAGCTTTCCAAGACTTCTTGGCTTCCGTGGGAAGGAGCGTTTAAAACACAACCCGCCCCAGCTGTGGGCGGTTTTCCTCTGCTTTCATTCAGTGTGTTCCTTCAGGTATTTTAACACATACCCTCATGAGAAGCACACTAAACAATTGGTCTCTGTGCCTTTAGGCTCACCTTAATAAGCTAGAAATTCAACTTTTAAAAAGCTTCAATATGAAACTGTCCTTCTGACTCACATGTAAACTAAAATGTATCTCAGATTGATACTTTCTGTGATTATAACCAATACTTCCAATATTTATGGACTATGCACGGTCAGTCATTCTGCTGGAAACTGGAGATCCAGAGAGCAAGAAGCAAAGAGGCCCTCTTCTCCACTCACAGGGATGCTGCCCTCGGCTTGTGTTGTCTCAGTGACCAGGCATTTGCAAGCTCCTGAGAGTCTCAGTGGGAAGGGTTGATGATTAAGCTTCACCCTGACCATTAAGGATGTTTTCCAGGGGAAATGGTTAAGATGGAAGTAGAAGGAAGCAGAAACTGGAAAGGCATGCTGGGAGGGATGGGGGAGGGATGGGGGATGCGGGTATAACCACATGGCCCAGGGAGAGTAGCAGAAGCAGCCAGTGCTTAGAAGCAGCTACGGCAAGAGATGCTTTTCAGGTCAAGAATGGGGACACACTTTACAGAGAAAGAACTGGCCAGTCTCAGGCAGAGGCATGACATGGTCATGCATGCACAGTTGAAAAACATCTTTTCTCTTGGGACAGGTACAAAGGCCAAACCAGGAAACATTCCAGTGGGAAATACCGTTGATTGTCACCTTGTCACTGAAGAGGATGGAATCACTAGCTGGATGGATAGTAGATTCTTATTATAAATTGTGTATCCGAGTAAAGCTGTGCAAATGGTTTAAACATCATTGAAAGCCTTCTTTAAAGTGCAGGCTTGACCAGCCCCACCAGATCTCTAACGGCTGCCTAATTGCTGCCCACTATGATGCTGTGTATGTGTGAGGAAAAATGCACAAGACACTAGGATGTAAGGAGCTGCGTTTGAGTTGAATAAACACTGAACAATATTAACTGCACCTTTGGGCTCAGCTCTCCACAGACGTCTCACCCTGAGGGCCACACAAGCATGAGATTCAGAGTCTGGATGCCCAGAGACCATTCCTTTTTGTTCTTCCCAGTGACGGTCGAAAGCCTCTCACCTTTAGTTGCCTCATCTATAAGATGTCAGTAATAATCCCACTTCATAGAATGGTGAGAGTCAGCACTTGATAATATTTCATCTGAATTTAATGTCTAGTTATTTTCAATGTTACTCACATCACAGTGACTTCCCAGGGCAGTCGGTTCTCGTCTTGTGCTTGCAAGGAGGAAAGCCAGGAGTCCTTCTACATGATCAGTCTGTGCCATCATTTCTTCTGTAGGACTTTCAGGAAGATGACAGGCTTCCGGTGTGAATGAGCAAGTGGCTCCCCCTCTTAGGCCCCGTCCCTCAGAAATACTATCGTCCTCCAGGCTTGCTCTTTCCTTGACTCTCAAGAGGAACATGGTGTAGAGGAAAGTTGTTTAACTGGGGAATTATCCCTTACAGTGCCAAACTGAAGAAGTAAAGCAGTGTCTCTCAATTAGTACATGGCTCACTTTCCTTGTAAATGGCACCTTTTGTGATACAGTGTGCTCAGCAACCCTGAATAATTCCTTCATACGTTGACAAAGGTGCCCTGGGTGCCGTGTGAATAGCAGACTCGGTAGAGCAACAGAAACAAGCTAGAACTTGGCTTTGGGCCTTTTACACCCAGCGGATCTCTGGCAGCAGCCATGTTCTCAGGGGGAACTTAGCACCCCTAATGTTTCCACCAAGAGTCAAAGCTCGGGTGCTGAGAGAAATCCAGGCCCTAGATGGGACTCACGTGACCTCAGCCTCCAAAGCACTGTGTTTGGAATGTGCTCCACAAGCTAGTGTATTTAAACATTACATCCCCAGATAATGGTGTGATGTGGGTTGTTATAGAACCTCTGAGACATGGTGCCTTGCCGGCAGAAGTGAGTCACCCAGAGTCAGTCTATGAGCGTATAGACAAATGATTCTGGTTGAGCTGCCTCTCCCACTGCTGCCGCTGCCGCTTCTCCATCTCCTGTTCCTTCTTCTCTACCTTCTCCTCCTCCTTCTTTTACTCCTCCTCTTTTTTTTTTTTTTTTTTGGTCTTTCGAGAAAGGGTTTCTCTATGTAGCCCTGGCTGTTCTAGAACTCATTCTGTAGACCAGGATGACTTTGAACCCATAGAAACCTGTCTGCTTCTGCCTCCTGGGTGCTAGGATTAAAGGCATACATCACTACCACCCAACATTTGGGGGTGCTGTTTCTACTTCTTGGTCAGCCAAGATGTGCACGGCTACTTCACAGCACACGCTAGCCAACTCAGACTGAGCTGCCCCTTCTGTCTTTGTTTCTCCATCTTGAAAGACTGATTAAAGTCTCCTGAGACTGTGAGCCAAAATACCTCCTACTTAAAATTGCTTTCGTCAAGTGTTTTTCATGGCAATGACAGGAGCAACTCCATCAGAATCATTTGGGGAGCTTTCTGATATAAAATGCCTGATCTCAGAGCTATGAACACTTAAAGATGAGACACTGGAACACAGAAACTTTGAAAGCTCCATGCATGATCTATACACCATAGAACAGAGAGTAGCATTTGGTCTGCTCTCATTTAGCGTGCTCTCCTCGTTGATATGGAAAAAAAATAATAATAGCATATGAAAAGACAGGTGTTGGTACTGGAAATTTTTTAGAACCCAGGCACAGGAGAGTTCCTATGAAGCTTTAGAAGCATGACCAAAGGAAGCCCGCCAGGAGCTACTGATCTCTCTGAAACAGCATGCTGGGTTCTAATTGTTACCTGCAAGAAATAGTGGTTTTTGTGTGTATATTGCCAACTCCCCTTTTACAAACATGTGTCATAAAGAGACATGAGCAAGTTTACTTCACAGCTTATAAAGTAGGTGAAGGCTAAATGGATCAGACGTCTTAGATGAGAAATGAGAAGCTGCTGAATTTGGACAAGGGTTTATCTCTGAAGGAGAGAAGTAAACAGCATGTTTTGTCTTTCAAGAGAGGATGACAGGATTTTACAGGGTGCCTATGAGATAAAAGCGTTTTGTTCATTTGTATTATTGGTCCAGACTTTTTTTCAATAAAGTATGATATATATTTTAAATAGCAATTCATAATCTTTGCTGGCTTTTTCTATAAAATTCCATGGTTGGTGTGAGAGTAAGTTTGGAAACTGTGGTTAGTGGCATGAGTGGCGTCTCGATCTTAAGAATGAGCAAGGAAAATTTAACACTGACATGATCTGTAGGACTTCTGGATATGTACAGTCTATGTATAATACAGAAGAACTAGCCATTCACTCTGCACTACCCTGGACCTGGGATACCTACTGAAAAGAACCTTCATCACGAGCTTACTCTGGGGCTGAGCAGGTAGCTCGGAGGTGGAGCACTTGCCTAGCATGTTTGAGGCTGTGGGCTCCATCCCCAGCACAAGGGTACAGGGAAAAAGAAAAAAAGGAGCTTGTTGTAAACTTTTAGAGCAGAAGAGTCTAATCTTTTTTGACAAAATATATCCGTGGAGACATTTAGAAATGAAGGTCAGGTTAAATAGTAAAAAGAGCAGTAAGGATTATTAAGACCTGAGTCTAAAACCCCCAGGTCAGTTTCGGACCATGATGATTTGGGGACTCAGAGCCTGGCGGACATTTGTGGTGTTTCATCACCTCCCTTTTATTCCATACTGACCATAGACAGAGTCAACAACGCTGCAGCATGAGTGAGAACCACTGTAAAATAGCTCCTCAAAGTGCTTGAATTTAAGAAAACCCATCACAGCCCTTATGCCAGGCTGGGCCTAAAAGGATGCGACTGTGTGGGAGATATAGGTGGGAGAAAAAAGTACCGTAAGCTGGTCTATTCCAGAGCTCCTAGAAAATAGAGTCTAACAATCCCCAACCCCTTTCTAGCCAAACTCAAGCTGATATTCTTCTCAGGGTATTTGTAATGGGGTCATATTTTTATCTAAAAGGAAACACAGGTGAAGACTATTTTGGTGACGAGGATAAACAGGAAGAGGATATGAAAATTTGCTGCCTGACACCACTGCCTGTCTCTGTGGTTCAATTAGCTGTGTTTTAGCCGAGGACAGCATGCGTCAGAGTGTGCCTGGGGGCTTTCAATTGCTTTCTGCCTCAAGCCCATGTGACTCCAGAATTGGAATCCACCTAAATATTTTTTGTCTTTTTTTATTGATATTTATTGAGCTCTACATTTTTCTCGGCTCTCCTCCCTGCCTCTCCCCTCCCCTCTTAACCCTCCCCCATTGTCCCCATGCTCCCAATTTACTCAGGAGATCTTGTCTTTTTCTACTTTCTATTTCCCACGTAGATTAGATCTATGTAAGTCTCTCTTAGTGTCCGCACTGTTGTCTAGTTCTCTGGGATTGTGGTTTGTAGGCTGGCTTTCTTTGCTTTATGTTTAAAAACCACCTATGAGTGAGTACATGTGATAACTGTTTTTCTGTGTCTGGGCTACCTCACTCAAAATCATGTTTTCTAGCTCCATCCATTTTCCTGCAAAATTCAAACTGTTGTTATTTTTTTCTGCTTTGTAGTACTCCATTGTGTAAATGCACCACATTTTCCTTTTCCATTCTTTGGTCAAGGGGCATTTAGGTTGTTTCCAGGTTCTGGCTATGACAAACAATGCTGCTATGAACATAGTTGAGCACATGTCCTTGTGGCATGGTTTGGTTATATACCCAAAAGTGGTATTACTGGGTCTTGAGAAAGGTTGTTTTCCTAATTTTCTGAGAAATCGCCACACTGACCTCCAAAGGGGTTGTACCAGCTTGCAATCCCACTAGCAATGCAGAAGTGTTCCCTTTTCCCCACAACCTCTCCAGCATAATTTATCATCAGTGTTTTTGATCTTGGCCATTCTTTAAGGTGTAAGATGGAATCTCAGAGTTGTTTTGATTTGCATTTCTCTGATTACTAAGAATGTTGAACATTTCCTTAAGTGTCTTTCAGCCATTTTAGATTCATCTGTTGAGAGTTCTCTGTTTAAGTCTGTACTCCATTTTTTTATTGGATTATGTGGTCTTTTGATGGCCATTTCTTGAGTTCTTTGTGTATTTGGAGATCAGACCTCTGTCTGATGTAATATTAGTGAACATCTTTTCCCATTCTGTAGGCTGTCATTTGTCTTGTTGACCATGTCCTTTGCTTACAGAAGCTTTTCAGTTTCAGGAGGTCCCATTTCTTAATTGTTTCTCTCAGTGTCTGTGCTACTGGGGTTATATTTGGGAAGTGGTTCCCTGTGCCAATGCATTCAAGTGTACTTGCCACTTTCTCTTCTATAAGGTTCGTTGTGGCTGGCTTTATGTTGAGGTCTTTGATCCATTTGGACTTGAGTTTTGTGCATCCACCTAGATATTTTAAGTGGTGTAGTCACCTTTTTCCTCCCTCCATGTAGACCTCTTCATCTCAACATGCTTTGGGACCTCTCAGATATAATTAATTTCAAGATATGGGAACTACAGAGTTAGAGGCCAGCCTTTTCTCAAAAAGCAATTTCCAAAGTTATTATCCAAGTCAGACATGGTGGCATATGCCTCTAATCCCAGCACTTGGGAGACTGAGGCAGGATTGCCATGAGTTCAAGGGCAGCCTGGACTATAGAGTAAGAACTCAACCACCACCCATCCTGACTCACACTGTTAAAAATGGTTCTTAGCAGAGCCTCTCCGCCAATGCGAATAATTCCAATCAGACCAAATCAGACCAAATAAAAGATGCCATGTTTAATGCATTGCTTCTGGGTGGCAGCAGGAAAGCATGGCGAGGGAA